ACCATAATTTTTCGATTCTGCAAATATTTTTGAAGAATTGCAATGGATCCAGCCCAATCAGTTGACAACCTTTTTTGACATGTGACTGGATTCAGTGAAAAAATAGTTTGTACAGCTGCCCTAATTATGAAGGAAAGATGGCTGGTGGGTTGCTGAGAGAAGTGATGGAAAACGTGGTCTCATTCCGAAGACGTTTCTGAAATCAGTTCCGAAAGATTGTACACCAGTCGAGCAAAACAAGAATGAAACAACGGCCAAATCATTGCCGGTTCAATATTCCATCCAAAATAAGTTTGGCTCATCGGACGAAGATGCTTGCGCATTTTCTCACCATAACTCAGCTGATGATGATCCATTCAAAAATCCAGTAGCCAGTAAAGCAACTTGGAAAATGTCGAAAATCATGCCAAATACTGTGGCAACTGGTGAAGAAGAAAGAATGAGGACGATGCCAGAAAAAATCTTGAAACAGGTAATGAAAAATTCTGTTCCTATTAGGATGGCTAATGGGTAGCATGTTGAATTGGGTAGTGAATTATCGAACAGTTAATAATTTACGAAATTTCCTCTCTTACGACACTAATTGAACGTTATGAAGTCATCATTAGCAAGAGTCGCTTGAGTTGTTAGCTTTCCGACCAAATACAACCGAAAAATGAGCAGCAAATGTAACGGAGCTGATCAACCATATAGATTGCATTGAAAAATTATGAAAATGTGCAACTGAGTATTCAATTTTATTTAATTTGCAGTTGAGAACATCCCAAAAAGAACGTGAAACTTGCTTGGGCGTTGCGTTGAAGCATGGTAATAAGTGTTTAGTTCTGTTAGATTTTTTTAGTGAACAATGTTTTCATCAAATCGACTTACTATTATGTGTTTTTGTATCCTTCAGCCTAGAAACAGCTTTTTTACGTTATACCATTCACTTATTCAACGCTTCTAAAATCGAAATCATTACGCGGCTGAAGAGCAATCGCAATTTTTTCATGGCAAGAGAATCATCCCAAATTGATTATTGATTACGTAATCATCTTATCATTGATTACGAACACGACTACACCAGATTACTCTATTCCAATTTATTCACTTCGTTTTGAATGACCACTGTTAAAGAATTGATTGCAACCACGCCTAGATCCACATCTCACATATCGCTGTCATTTAACACCACGACTGAGCGAATCGAATATTGGTTTTCATGATCTTTACTGGAACTATGAAGGCGACAAGGTAAAATAAGTTATTGCTCTTTGAGTTTTTTAAAAGCATCCTGTTACATATAGTGACTGCAAAATTCCGATCGTTTTCGCAATCCCGAGATCGGGATTTGATTGGAGGGTCGCTTTTTCAATGCTGGGACGATCGCAGGATTGAAGAGCAACTTTTGAAATAAGCAACTAGGAATGTGACTTGTTTAACACATTCTTTTAGAGTCACTGTCTTAATAATCAACCAGAAAACAGTTTATTTTACAAATTATTCATCAAAGCTCAACAACAAAGAAAGAGAGTCGGAATACGACGCAACGTTGACAAGGAAAGATGAAGATGTTATGAGATACTTGTTCAGTGTTGTGTGAAAACAAAAGCCGGGGTGGCGATATACCATGAATCATCTTTCGATTACCATGTGGGTGGTGAACAACAAATATGAGTGCTTTTAACGAGCTGGCAATGATTTATGCTTCATTCATGATGGATGTACTACCAAATTCATACAAAATATATTGTGTTGTGAATCCCGGAAATCCCATAAATCCCGACATTACGAATACCGGGATCGGGATTCAAAAATCAGGATTTCCGGGATTTCGTGCAATCCCTAGTTACATACATATGTAGGTGAAGATGTAATATGGATCTAAAATACTCTTTCAAGAACTGAACGATCACGATCATCTGTCATCGCGCTCTAACTCTCTCCCTTTCGATACGTAGGTGTCCCCTCTCACTGTTTGCCATAATTGCTTACTCTTTTGACTCATAAACGTTAATCTGCTTGCAAATAAATATGTCTGTGGTTCTCACGTTCTTGCGCTCCGTGCTTCCCTTTGATCGTATGGCAGATCGGCATTGCCTTTTGCAACAATCTATATGACCGGAAGTTTCCTCTCTTGTGATGGCCTTTTACTTCTTAGCAACAAATTAAAAGAAAATCAGACAATTGGTTTGTAGATTAAAAAATTTGTTGTCAAGAATCCTTCAGTTGTGTCAAAGAAAACAGTTCGTTGGTTGTAACTCTGTGACTAAACAAGCAGAACATCATTGGATAACTAAAAAAGAATTTTGAAAATAAATAACGCAGACCACCTCATCACATTCCCTATGAGAATCACTGAGGTTCATATTATCGGCACGAATAAAACGCAATAGTCGCTTGTCTGTCTAATGTTTCTTTTGCTAAAAAATTGCCGGTACGGAGCACTAGAATAAAGTTCAATGATTCGTTTAAGTATAATTCTCCGTGTCAATTTGGTTCAGTGGAAATTGTTGTTGAGGAATGCTCAGCTTCAAACTTAGGCTTTAACCGAGGTCTCCTCAGACTCTAGCTCTGTGGTTCTGGTTCTCCATGCAGAGTCATCGTTACTATGTTTAGCTATTCATTCAAAACTGAATTGTTCACAGATCAAACTCTCTAAAAAAAATCTCATCTTGAAGAAGATAGTCGCAGCAGATGGCAACTACTTTTTATCAGCCTGTATTCCACGCTCTAAAAACACAAATGGTTACTGCTTTTTAATTCAGGTTCGTAAAAGAAGAGTTCGTGTCAGTAAAATCATCCGTCTTTTACGCTTGGAGAATGTCTCAGTTGATTCAAACAATGTACATGGTGGCCTAATAAGAATTTGCTTATTCGATCTCACTGGCAAAACTGGAAGACAAATAGTAAGTGTGCTTACCTGCTTCGGCTGAGTTCGAACTGTTGTTCTTCGAAAAAAAATCAAATAATTGTTGTTTGTAATCGCTGTTACGCACAATTCTGCTCATTTGTCATGCATGATGAATAAGGTGATGGACTGTTTCTTAAGCTAAACTTATTTAATTCCTAATAAATAGTTTTTAAAAGCAAGAAATGGTCAGTACCATCGATGTTTACAATTACAACAATCTTAAATTTATCAGACTTATTCTATTCAGATGACTTATTTACAAATTACAAAATGTCACGGTTAGTAAATTCATTCTCACATCATCTGTGAAGAGCAAATATCGAATATGTTCCCCAGCGATGGGAAGATTGCCGCAGTTATGACCTTGTCACTGCTAATAGCCCTGACCAAAATGTAATTCAAAAATCATATATAACAGAAAATTCAGATCAAATTTTAAACTTTATTTTTAATAGCTGTGATAACGAGGTGTAGTTTGAGAAGCAGGCACGATTGCGAGAATGAATCGTGTAGTATTTTATTTGCTACCGTTGGAGAAGGCATTTTATATGAATTCATCAGTTCATTTGTCCACGCATACCCAATAAAATCTTGTGAAAGTGTAGTTGTTATCATATGTCATCAGAATAGTGTACATTGAGGCTAAACACATAACTTTATCAACTTGGCTGATCTTACTGAATTAACTCTTATGACGCAGCCGAATGCTTTCGTTATTTCAGGTGAGCAATATTCATACAATAAAAGCTCAAACTCGATCTCGCGGAGGCAAAATGTGGATGTTCATTTCAAAAGTAAAAATTGAGTTGTTTGTATTAAGTGTTACTTGTTCATTTTGCTTGCATTACTATTTATTATTCAGTGAATTTTAAAAGTCCTAAAATATACATTAATAACCTGATTACTATTCAAATGTGGTTGATGTAGATAGATGTTAATGTGCTCACTTCATCCGATGTTAAATTACTTTTCCAATATTTATTTCAGACTGATGCCGAATACGGCAGTATGGAATTTTCAGATTTTTTCATCCGCTCCAACTATATTCAAATGGATGTCGTTCTTTTGTTCGAGGCATCTGTCATCCAGTCTTCATTTGAACGAGTAATGTTTCATTACTGATTTGAAACTTCATGACTTTCAAAGTCTATAACTAATTGTGTGAGAAGAGATGTATTGAATTCACCGAAAAAATTTCATGTTCTTGGGCAAATCACCTAAAATTTCACGCGAAGATACTTCCAGGATATCGCTCACGACCTCCTATATCTGTTTCGTGTTTTTGTAGAGGCATTGTGCTTTTGTGAGTGGATTTTGAAATTCATGTTGAACCGATTCAGTTTCGCATAAATATTGATTATTAAAAGTGGTTGATGATGACGAATAGAACTCTGATTCGTTTTAAGGAGAGTGAACTTTTGGAAACATCACTGGGATATGCGTATATGCCAATTATTGGAGAGAATGGTCATTGCTGCTTGCAGAATAAGTGAGATTAACCTTTTTGTTCTCAATTTCAATGCATGAAAATACACCAAGAACTAATGCGACAAAACTGAATTTGATTTAAAAGCTGTTGAGAATTGAAGGAGATGATTTCGATTAGAGTGTAGCATTGAACTAAGTTGGCTGACTGCCGCTGAATAGGACTACTGATGAATTTTGCACTTTGTCAGATTGATTGCAACCCTATGCTGGCTCCGAGGATGCTCTTATTTGACATCAAAATAATTTTTATGCACTCAGAATTTGAGTTGAAAGCAAGCCGTTCATTTATCAAATCACCAAATAAGTACTATGTACTTTGCTGTTTCTTATTCCGTTCAGCAACTGAACTTCAAATCTGCATGATCATAGTAGAAGACGAGATCATCAACAAGGATTGTATAAAGAAACTGCAAAATAATTTCATTTGCTCATTGTATAAATGAAATTCGCCTAACAAGTTACTAGAAAGCAGGTAAAAAATCTGTCACCAGATACTAAAAAGACATGAGCCACCAACACAATAATGGCTTGATATGGAGAGCAGCAAGATCGAAAGAACCAATTATTTCAATGGAATGCTTCTACAAATACAAAGCATTCACTTCTATAGATAAAATACTCTCACGATACAAATTCGTTAGTGGAATACTCGAAGTTGTCACCAAAAGTCAATATCCTACATTTACGAACTATTTTCACTCCTTACAATGGCCAAAAAAAACTATGCATTTATTTTCAGGACGTATACACAAAACCTGCTTATGGGGAATATTTTAAAGCAAAGCTTTGGAGGTAAGTAAGCAGCTGTTCGGACGAATTTCAGAAGTAGTAAAGAAATTATTCTATGAAACACGCGTTCATGCACGAACTCTACACGAATTTCACCTATTACGAATTAGTATTAATATAATAGCACCGATTGTGTGAATGATTCGTTGTAGTAATGAATGGAATCACTTATATCAGTGGTTCCTAATCTGGGGTACGAGATAGTTTTTTCGGGGAGTGCGAGATAATATTTCATTTTCTATACATTAAAATGGGCGAGGACGGAGTTCAACGCGTACATGTGTATAAAGTAAGCAAGGATGGACTTTAAGGTACATATTTTTGCAAAGGCAAGAACGTGATTCAATGGTATATACTTATCTGCACTATAAACACTCACTATAGTGGATGAGAGGTACGGAATGGTTATTGTGAAGGGTGCGATGGTTATTGTGAGGGTGGACATTTTAGCTATTGTTGTAGGGGACGCGAGACGTCTTAAAATTTTTCAAGGGTTGGGAGCAAAGAAAAATGTTAAGAGTGACTGATCTAAACAATCAAATAAGTAATTTGCTGATTTGATGCAATAAGCAATAAGATGTTCTTCTAATTCCTCAGCACTACTATTTTAATTTCATCACGATTACAGAAACGGATACTTATATTCTTATGAGGTTTTGTTACTGGAATTCTCACATGTATTTTCATATTTTCATACCAAAAAGCATACAGACTTAAAAATGAAAATTCGCTAAACGTAGATGTATTCAGTCCTTGTCAGTGATTTCATTCGTTTGCTTTCTTTCAATTCGTTCGTTGCCTTTCAGGAACGAATCCAGTTAAAACTCAAATGAGACTAGTTATGCGCATTTCGGATGTTAGCGAAACGATTGTTACATACGTCGAGTAAGCTGAAAATTTACTCATTATCTCAAGAGCATGAGCAGTCTTATGATTACCGCAAACGGTTATTGCCTTGATTTTGTCCTGAAAATGGAGAACTTCATTTCTTGTAGTAAAAGTGATATAGAATAAACAGAGCAATCAAATACTATTTACAGTGCTGTGTGAAGCAGTTTAATGATTCAGTTTTAGTTCTCTATCGGATATTCTTATATGGAATCCGATGTTTGCTAGACTCGGTTTTTACTACAGAAGAGCGTTGGGTGAGGTGCTTGTGAAAGAACGGCAAAATCCAATAAGTGCGGGTTAGCCATTATCAATGATTTTTTGTTCTTATGACATTCGATGATGGATATTATACTCATTTGTATAGAAATAATGCATGATGGAGGTTTTTTGCACAGATCAGGGATAACAAAAGTATTCGTAACGATATCGATCAATTTGCTCCGCAACTTTTGTATCCGATTCCCGTCTCTACTCCTGCCGATTCGGTTCCCGAGGGGTCCCCGGCCTCTCTCCCGCTAAAAAGTTGATCCCCTAGGAACACGTCTTTTACCACTTGGAGTGTACATTACGCATAAGAGTGATGCGAGCATTACTCTAATCGTAAGTGTATTAGAGGTAGCGATGGCATCCAAGCGAATTTTTTTGTCACTCGGAATCCAACCGAATTCATTCCTACATTCTGAATTCCAACCAATCTTCCAAATTGTTTGCTCAGAATCCGAATGTCGAAATTCTGACCGAAATTTGTCAGATTTTGCCAACCGACTGTCAGTTAAACGCCATCACTAATTGGAGGCTTAGGCGATGTCGCGACATGTCAGAAGTGTTTCCCTTTACCCAACGTTGTTTCATCATCAGAACCAAGTGGAATGGGGGATGATCTCTCAGTACTTCCCGTGCCATTCCAAAAAGTACCTCCTTTCGTAAGATCCCTTTTGAGATCAGCTCCAAAACGTATGCACTGTTGTTGTTAGTATCAGTTACCCTTGGGAATAGTTGATATGTTTTTCCGAATGATCAATATCAATGTTAATATCATCAATATTATTATTATCAACTTAATTTTGGCCAATATTACTTTTCCATTTTCATTTTTGGAATACTTTTGTTGCGAGCTTCTCTGCTTTGCATGAAGACGTTTTTTGTCGTTATTTATTCATCTGTATGCTACTTACACGTAGGAGTTGGAGCAGGGATCGTGATTGCGGCCGGCAAAAAAGCACAAAAAAAAGAGAATTTATTTTGGTGCCGGACTTCTGAAAAATTCGGTGTTAGAGCTGGAGCCAAAAAGTAAAGGTGGAACTTCAAAACTGTGGAGCTGACAATTGGAAAATGCCGAGCTAGAGCCGGAATTTTTGAAAATGCGGAGATCGAGCTAGAACTGAAGCAGAAACCTTGGAGACGTGGAGCAGGAGCTGGAGGCGAACTTTTAAAAAATGCGGAGCTGCAGTTGAAATTTTGGAAGTGTGGAGTCGGAGCTGTAGTCGAAACAAAGGTTGAAAAATGCGGACTTTTAGCCGGAGTCGGAGTAGAAATTTCAAAAATGCACAGCTGGGTCTTTCTTTTTTCAAATCAGACATCACTGATTTTGCTGATAAATGCTGAATGATTCAAAAACTATTGCTTCCGCTAATGTTACAAAGATATGAGACGGCCACCATTCTAACAAAATTTATTCTAGAATTTTTGTTTGATCCGTTTTTGGCGACATTCCCCATTATTGCGGATCAAACTGACGTAATGGAATTGATTCATTCGCTTTGGTTGGAAAAACTCAAGTCACAAGGACACAAAAAGGTTGGTTCTTCCATTCAATCACCTAAAATTTAAATCCAAAACAGCAGCTCTATGAACAATTGCTTCCAAAGCAGACACTTCTAGGGTTCTAAAGCTCTGAAACATAAAACACATAATGCCATCCCTGCGATTGGTGTATGTAGTATTTACCTT